AAATGGAAGAAGGAACTCAAAAGGTACAAAATTCTAGTCATAAAATAAATAAGTCATCATGGGCTGTAATGTACAGCATGTGTGACTATAGTTAATAACACTGTATTGTATATTTTAACGTTGCTAAGGAGTATATCTTAAAATCTCTCATCACAAGAAGGAATTGTAAGTATGTGTGGTGATGGATTTTTAAACACAGTTATTACAGTGATATTTCACAGTATATACAAGTATTGAATCACTATGCTGTACAACTGCAATTAATATAATGTTATGAGTCAATTATATCTCAATAAAAAAGGGGGAAAAAGAAATAAATAACAGCATGCTGTTATAACATGCTTAGAACAGTGCCTAGCATATGGTCAATTAAGGTTAAGTTATTTTATTACTGCCTTCACATGATGATTGGTAATGCCTTATACATGTTCAGTATTTTACTAAGAGCCCTTCATAGATGAGTTAAAAAATCTCACATCAAAGCACATCTTTAGGGAATTTCAGAACACTGACTAAAAAAAGTCCTCATGCTTCTTGAGATAGAAAATAAATTAAAAAAACAAAAACAAAAAAGGTCATATACAAAGAACTTGAAATGGAATGGTACTGAATTTACTAATAGCAAATCTAGAATTTAGAAGATAATGGAAAAATGCTTTTCAAATACTGAAAAAAATTTAAGTTCCAACATACATTTGAATACCCAGATAAACTATTGCTAAAATAGGAAAGTAAAATAAAGACATTTTTATTTACATGTAAAGGGTCAAAATATTTTTCCTCCTTGGACCCTGTCTTTGTCCATTTGGGCTGCTATCACAGAAATACCTTAAGTCTATGGCATGGGGTGCCTTAAACAACAGAAAGCTTTTTCTCACAGTTCTGGAAGCTGGAAAATCAAAGATCAAGATGTCCAGGGGCTGGCCCCATGGCTGAGTGGTTAAGTTGGCATGCTCCACTTCAGCGGCTCAGGGTTCATGGTTTGGATCCTGGGCGCAGACTTACACACTGCCCATCAGCTCATACTGTGGCAGCATCCCACAGAGAAGAACTAGAATGACTTAGAGATAGGATATACAACTATGTACGGGGGCTTTGGGGAGACAAAAAAGAAAGAGGAAGATTGGCAATAGGTGTTAGCTCCAGGCCAATCTTCCTCACTGAAAAAAAAATGAGAAAGAGATCAAGGTGTCTCAGATTCAAGGTATGGTGAGGGCCTGCTCCCTGGATCATAGACAGTTGTCTTCTCGCCATGTCCTCACATGGTGAAAAGGGTAAGGGAGCTCTCTGAGGTCTCTTTAGAAGGGCACTAATCCCACCCAGATGACCTAATCACCTCCCAGAGGCCCCACTTCCAAATACCACCATACTGGGGATTAGGTTTCGATGTATGAATCTGGAGGAGACACAATTATTCAGTCAATAGCAGTGTCTTTCTTAGAAAGTTGCTAAAGAATATTTTCCATCAAAAAGGTGAATAAAATAAAATAAGGAAGGGCAGGAATTTAGAATGCAAGAGGCAAGATCAACAGGAAAAAGGCAAAGGACCTTTTTAGGATAATAATGAAGAGAAGGCCCAAGAAATCAGCTATTTGGCAGTCTAGTGAACAACCAGTACAGACAGAAGCAAGAGGGTAGAAGGCTCCAGAGGGGATGTCTTCATGAAAAAAGAAAAAAAAGTCTAGATTTTGTGATATACTTGGCTGTGATGAGAGGAATCTTACAGATCTGATAGAAAATTTGAAACTGAATTCATGATAGGACACCGACAACTAAGCAAACAGCCACAAAAGTGATGATTAATCCCACGGACATAGAAAAGCTGGATGAGAAATATGATGCAATGAGGCCAGGCAGCCCAGCTGTGAAGTCTATTAATATAACCATATCGCTATAAGTCCTGAATGTTGATATAACCAAATAAACATATTGGAATTAGGGGACAGGGGAAGCGTAAGTGTGTAGAGGGGACAGGCAGTAAGAGAGTGAAATCTTTGTTTTCTTTTGCAGGACATCAACTAAGTAAAATTGAACAATCAAGAAATAGCAAGGCAAGTACTTATCTAGCAAGATGGAGATAAACAGCAGAAGAAAGAGCTAAAAGAAGTAAATGCTTACATACTTGGAGTAAAAATCAGGAGTAGGAAAAGGCAGAGCTGAGAGCTGCTGTTTTTCTTTACAAACCTTGTAGTACTGTTTGAATTTTTAACTATGTACACATATTACTTTGAAACAAGTTAAAAAATTAGTTAAAACTTGAGAGGCAAATCAAATACACAAGAACTTAACGGTAGAGAGTTTTAAGAAGTTTTGATGCAAGATTTGTTTTCTTGTGGATCAATTTGGGCATGATCATGTAGAAATCGAAATCTAATTATATATTTGAGAAACATTTGTCTTCCTTTTATTTTTAAGTGAAATCATAAATCCTGATTCTTCTTCCTTCTATTGGGATGCTATGGATGGTTCCAGTAAATGCTTAGCTTGGGAAACTAGAACACCAAAGCTGTCCTCTTGGCAGTCATTAGGATATGAATCAACACAGAGCAGAATGTTCTGAGCTCACCCCGACCCCTCCACCAGCATTTAGCCTTCATTGACGCCATCCTTACTACCAAAACAACTGTAACCAAGAGACAGCATTAACTCAGAGCAAAACTGAGGAGTATTTGGAATGTTTTAATTAAGTTTATTGCCTGAAGACAACAAAACTTCCACCTCTTCCATCGGCACACTTTCTCAGAATACATCTGATGAAAGGCTATCATGAAAGGAAAGCAATTTCTTACATTTGCTAAAAGAACTTTCTAAGTTTCGTAAATTCCCTGGGAATCCTGGGAAGGCAGGAGAAATAATATGCCAGAAATAGCAATATTCTATCAAACTAATTTTCAGGAAAACTAGGAGAAAGTTACAGTGACTCTGGTGTACAAGTGGATATTGTCATAGTATGGGGACTTCAAGTTACAAATAAGTAGAGAGAAAGAAAAACATGCAGCGGAGGCTGGAGGAAAAAAGAGTGAGGGAAAGGGTTATACAGAGGGAAGAGAGAAATAACAGGATGTGGGAAGGAAAAGAGAAGTGAATGAAGAAGAAGACTGGGAGAGATACAGGGTGGACCTGTATGGTATATGCGGCCATGTCCCCCAGCCTCAATCGTGTTACCTAAAAACCCAATAACTTTTCCTGACCTGGTGCCATTGGCTACAATGGTATTCCAAGTCCACCCCAGACCCTGAAATCTTTATTTATTCCTAGAAAATTCCCTTCATAGACTTTCTTTCAAGGACCTTTCTTCTACTTGTGTGGGACCACTGGACCCAGATACCCAGGCAAATGGGCCCCCATTTTCATCTGTCCTTTGATAAACAAGTGGATCTGGTCCTTCTTTTATTCCCACTTTAGGGGAAGAGAGAGAGAGAATATACCACAAGCTCTGCTCCTTCTAGAATGGCTTAATGTGCTTAACGGACACCCCTGCTCCATGTGCAGTAGGGCTGTGTATGGGGGTGAGGGAGATGCAAGCGTAGATGTGGGTGGGTGTGGTACGTGGATCTGTATGTGTGTGTGTGTTTGTCTGTACATTTATGTGTCTCTCTAACTTCTGAGTGGTCTCCTAATATCTGGTGGTCCTTGACTATGAGTTCATATATAAAGGTGAGGCTCTAAAAAGCCAATTGGGAGCTCTCTCTGTATGGGCAGAGCTTCCGAGCCAGTGGGCCTCACTCACAGGGTGATCAGACTGAGACACAAATGTTTCTTTGTGAACGGCTCCCAAAGAGATCTATCGCCTAATCCTGAACCTATGAATATGTTAGGTTACATGCAAGGAGGAAATACATTTGTAGGTGGAATTAAGGTTGCTAATCAGTTGATTTTAAGGTAGGGAGATTATCCTGGATTATATGAGTGTGCCCAATGTAATCACAGGGGTCCTTAAAAGTGGAAGAATGAATTGGAAAAAAGAACCAGACAGATGGCAGCATAAGGACTTGGTCTGATGTCGCTGGCTTTCAAGACGGAATAAGAGGGCCACAAGCTAAGGAATTTGTCAGGCTCTAGAAGCAGGAGAAGGCAAGGAGACAGATTACCTTCTTGAGTCCCCAGAAGGCCAATGCTTTCAGTTTAGCCCAACAAGACCCATTTTGGACTTCAAATCTCTAGAATTGTAAGCTAATTTGTTTGTTTTAAGCTGCCATGTTTGTGGTCATTTGTTTCAGCAGCTGTAGGAAAGCAGCATGTCTCCAACAGCAATATGTATAGACCTTTTCTTTTGCCCAGAAATTTCTCCAGAGAGGAGAGAAAATAATCTTGACTTTTGAAATCTGGGAACCAAGCAGTGGAAGGAGGCAAGGAGTCTTACTCTCAGTTTGCTGTCTTCTTTAAGCCCCATAATGTATGGCATTTCGTCCCTCCCTGGCTCCCAGGCTGTTCAGGTCAGTTCTGTTTTTAGTCCCACTCTATACTCCCTTTCTCAGAAGTACCCAGTACTTCCAAGCCTGGGCCTTTATAGAGTTCTGTGGTGTAAATCAGTTTGCTGGTTTTTGGCTTTCCTCGCCTTCACCTTGCTTTGGAAAGTTTTATTTTCTTCATTATATGAAACCTGCTACCATTCATGAGTTCACTAGCCATCATCTGAAATTGTGTTGACATTTCTAATCTGCTGTCACTGTCCTTAAAGCTTTACAGATTATAACTTCTTTACATTTTTCACTCATTTCACTGGGATTTCAGGAGGAGCAGAGACAAGCAAGTCATTCAATTCATTATGCTTAACTGGAATTCTTTTTCTCTCTATTTTATATTTCATAGAGACAATGAGTAGCTAAGCAATTTGTGAGATTTTTAAATTCAGCACTGACTGACTCCCGAGTCCATGTTCCCATGAATTTATGGCCTGAAGCAGTTGGCATCTGAAAAGCGATTGAAGCTGGGCTCCCAGATAGACAACAGCAGCTCTGTGCCTTCCTTATATGCATGAAGACTGCAAAAATACCTTGACTTGCTCAACATACATTTTATTAAATCATCAGGCACAAAATCTCCTTGGATCTGAAAAGTGGCCACCAGATATGAACCACACTTCCCAGTTCCTCCTTCATCTGTCACCTAGGTGGCTCCAAGAAACTGGCTCATATCAGTGGAATATGAGCAGAAGTGAGGAGTGTTATCTCTAGGCTGAAGAGATTAAGCAGAGGTTGACTTCCCCATCTTCTATCTTCTCCCACGTACCTGTTGGAGATTGATGAGTAACGTTAACGTGAACTAGAGGCAAACTTTCATGGCAAAATGCCACTGGTGATTTTGAGTTTGTTTATTACAGGGCTAATATTAGCTTAACTACCACTTCTGTCCTTATTATACAAAGTCAAAGCACAGGCCTGGTGTAGGGTAATGTCTATTTCAGAGGAAGGAATGCTTTCTGCTTCTCACAAAGTTGCCTTCTGCTGGCCAAGTTGTACAACTTTGGGCTGCTTCGACTCGAAGATGGGGTATTTTGCCAAGTTGTACAAAGTTGCTATATATGTTAGTGGAGGCCCTACAGGAATTGACCATCAGTTATTCTCCACGAATGAGGAAGCTCAGTAAGTATGAACAATAAGCCTGCACTAAGTCTCTGCCCTTTGGACATATCATCCATAGATCCAAGAAAATGGATAGTTTAGAAAGGTCCAGGGTAATGCTCAAGAAGTGAATTTGATGATTAGACAAGTCAGAGATGTTTGAAAAATAGTTTAAAATCTTGGCGCTCAGTGTGAGAAAGAAAGATTTTTCCCCCTTGTTTAAAAGCTAACTCTCTGATAAAACACATGAGGGACAGGAAATGAATCTGGTCACAAACCAAAAGCTAAATTTTCCAGCCTGATGTAATTCTTTCAGGAAAAGCGCTATGCCAGGGGAAAGGAGGAGGGGCTGACAGAAAATTCAGTTCATCTTTTGCAAACTAGTTTGCATATACTTTTTAAGCTAAAAGTAATCTTTAATTTTCCTTTTCCCCTTTTATCCAAAAGTATGGACTGCTGGCTAGGTGGCCAAAACACATTTTCAAATGGTTCTTCAGTTAATTGTGAATCAACCTGTTGGATGCTCAATAGATACTGAGAAAACATTGTAACTTAGAGAAAGAATATGAAGAGAAGGAGGAAGAAAGAAGGAAGGAGTGAAGAGAAGGAGGTTGAGGCTATGATTCTATGATCTACTCACCCTATTTTTCTTGAATGCCCCTCCTGAGAATGTAGATGGGTGGGATCTTTGCTTGGCTGATCCAGGGGCTGAGTTCTCCATCAGTGGAAGCATCCAAGCAGGCTTTGGAGAACTTTCCAGAGTTCACACTACTTCGAGAAGAAAGTTAGAGGAGATGATTGGTAAGGACTCTTCCAAACCTGACTCAGTGACAAATGAAGTGGTCAACAATGCGCCTGTTACATCTGGAGGCCCAAATGGGCAGCCAATTTTTCTGAGTTCTGGGAAATAAACCCACAGGAAGATGGTGGGTGTGATATAGTGTGAAAGATGGGGGAGGAGTTCCTCTTTAATCTGGAATTTGCCTGCCATAGAGGCACAAATAGTCTTTCTTTAATTTAAAGCAGTCATTTCTTCCTTGGCTTGCCCACATCAGGCTGTCAGCCTTTGAGCTCTGTTGCTGCTGTGCCATTGTCAGAATCAAATTACTAAAAAGGTCAGCATCATTAATAGGTAGTTTGAAAGGCGTGAAAATGCCAGACAGAAAATCTGTGAGTATCCAAGGCCTTGAGTCAAAAGGTTTGCTGTGGTTTACTTATTCTGCTGTTACTATTATTTGCTCCAAGGTGTACAGATCAAGATCATAAGACTGAAACCACCTGTGGAAACTTACAAATCCTATGGTCGTCTAACTGCCTTGTTCGTGGACGGAACATGCCCCCTGAGACCCATCCCAGCCAGACGGAAACTCCTTGATGGCAGAGACCCTGCTTCTTTGTATCTCAGACAACAATTACCTTGGGACATTCATAAACTCTTGAGCATGGATTAATTATAGTTTAAAACTTACACACCAGTGGGAACACTGGTTGAAATAAGTCCCCAGTGAAGACATTCTGGGACTCGAGGTGAGGACTACAAGGAGAAGGCCAAGGCTCTGTGTCCTGATCCCAGCTAAACCACTGATGCTTTGCATGACCTTAGATCACGCACTTTCCCTAGAAACCACCAGGTTTTCTGTTTTGTAGAATGGAAATTGCTTTATCTTTGATGTAATGTGAGAGAAAATTGTAATAGGCAATTGGCTCATAATTAATATTCAGGTTTTTTTCTTTCATACATGAGACATTAACTATCAGTTTGACACTAGTTTTTAATTAGAGATTAAATTCTTTCAGAACAATAGATAAGTGATGATTCTTTAAGTTGCCGAGAACTCTGGCTTTCACATCCACAGACCTGAATTTTAGCCTCACGTAACTTGGTGCTGCTGGCTTGACTCTTGACTTTGGATAAGTTGTGTTTGTTTGCTTAGTTGTTTGCTTACTTCTTTGTTTTTACCTCTCAAGGCCTCAGTTTCCTTATTTCAAAATGAGAGAATCAGGGGCCGGCCCCGTGGTCGAGTGGTTAAGTTTGCACGCCCTGCTTCGGCTGCCCAGGGTTTCACTGGTTTGGATCCTAGATCCAGACCCAGCACCGCTCATCAGGCCATGCTGGGGCGGTGTCCCACATAGCACAACCAGAGGCACTCACAACTAGAATATACAACTATGTATTGGGGGCTTTGAGGAGAAGAAGAAGAAAAAAAGATTGGCAACAGATGTTAGCTCAGGTGCTAGTCTTAAAAAAAAAAAAAGAAAGAGAGTGTCAGACTAGGTGATTTTCAAGTTCCCTTTCAACTTTAAAATTCTGTGATTCCAACATGTAAATGTAGCAGCATGTAGTCTAATATATTTTGACTACCAGCTTGTCATGCTGAATAAAATTCACACCATTTGAATCACTGCTTATGACCACGAGTTTCAGATCAGCCCCATGCTGCCATCTTTAAATATGTAACACCAGAGAAAAGCAACTTATTACGGTATAACTTTTTGGCTACTTGTTTATCAAGAAAATTCGCTATGGATTAGCAGACAGTGGGCCCTTCAAGAACCAAGACCCAAGAAAAGCCTATATTAATATAAATATTGTGATCCAGAACATAAGTGTTGCCTAGGGAAGGAAAGCTAATGACAAACTCTCCTTAATTCACAGTTTTTCCTAGAGTGGCCTTGGTTCTCAAATTACTTTGAAAATGTAAAAAAGACATTAGTCATCATGAAAATTATTTCTTTGGAATAGAGAAGACAACAATGAGTAATGTGATGATGCAGAAACTTCACTAATCAGTAATCATTACTGCTAGTAAGAATCACTAATATAATTACTAGTTCTATTTAGTAACAAAGCAGAGGAGAGAATAAAGTCATGACAAGTTGCTAGAAAGGGTCCAAAGGCAGAGAACTTCGTCTCTTCACTTTCGAATCCATTTGCTAAAATGTTGGCCTCTTTCCCAGAGATTTCGCATTGGCCTACCTGTTTCCCAAGATCGATATGAAATAACATTTCTTCTGTAAAACCATTGATCTTCCAAGCAAGATATGCTCTCTTTCCCTATTCAATTAAACAAGCATTACGGAGGACTTATTCGAGATCAGGCCTGTGCTTGAAGTTGTAAGAACTGAACCCACTCCTGATCATTCTGTTTTCAGAAACCTTCGTAGCATTTTGTTTATACCAACACTTAATATTTTGTTTATACTTAAGGCATGCACTATGTTCTAACTTGATTAGGGCACACTTGTTTGCCCACTCTACTGCAAGCCTGCCACTATCCTGTGGATGTAATAGGTGTTCAATAGACCTTTCATTTAGAGAATGAAAATAGAGGCAGTAATCACTCCCAATTGCAGACCGTTAAGCAATGAAAATAAATACTACTATCTCTAGAATTATAATGTAATTGAATGAGAAAGTACAATTTGACCTATCAAAATTCAGTTACACAAGATCGTTGGGGATAACGTTTGTTGCATGTGCCTCTATTACTAATGCAAATAAATACCAATATCTCTTTAAAAACATACTTAGGTTAATTCAGGAAAAATAACAATCTAGGCTCACAAAGTGATCCTCTAGCGTTAGCCACAGCACTGCCCTGTGAATCAAATGTTCTCAAGACAGCTGAGGATCAGAGAGACACCAAAACAAGCTTGTAAATTCTCAGCCTTGCCTGTGCACAATGAAGACTCTCTGTAAATAACCTCACAAATAAAATAAAAACTCTGCAACACTTGGGCAAAAGTCAGGGATTACTCAAACTGGCTTTCTGTGTGCAAAACTGGAGAAATGGGAGATTTGAGATTGCGCCCACCCGTTGGGAATTTCCCTGAGCTATGATACATAAGTGAGTCCTGGGTTGGGTCTTGGGATGCTTCACTGAAGGCATGTTCCCATCCACTGTGCTCTAGACAGTGACAGTGCCTAACGGAGAAACAGAGGCTATAGCACAGGTAGTGGTGGGGAGAGGCTGGGGCAGGGAGATCTCTTCATCAAGATATAAGCAAATGGCTGATTGTTGACTCTTTGAAAGAGTTTAGCTAAGGAACACATTTTATCCCACTTGCAAGCTAAAAGTGAACCTGCCACATTTTCCTGGATGCAAGAGTTATCAGCATTTTCTTGCACTGGGGTCACCATGTGGGAATTGAGACTTGGGGTATCAGGTGACAGTTGCAATTTCAGTGGGCTGCATTACAGGAGAGGAATCCTGAGCTTAGGGAATCTGAACCTTTCCTAATGTGCTGTAAGCTTTCCTGATCTTTGCTCTAGAGGGAGACTCTATTTCTGCCTTCCAGGGTGTTTACTAAACAGAGGTACTGGAAAAGATAGTCTGGACATGCAACAACATGAGATACTCATGGAGAAATGTCTCCCAACACATGGATCTTACATTCCAGTGTAACAGTGTATACAAAGACAAATATATAAATGAATGAATGGATGGATGGATGGAATTACATAGTAGTTGGTGATATGGAAGAAAAAAATCAGAGTACAACATAAAGATTGATAAGGAATGCTATTTTCAGTGGCTTTGCTAGGGAAGGCTTTTAGGAGAAGGTAGCATTTGAGCAGAAACTTAAATGAACTGAAAGACAGGGCCATGTAAATATCTGCCACAAGAGCATTCTAGAAGGAAAAAACAACTAGAGCTAAAGCCAAATGCAAGAGGAGAATGCTTATTGTATTTGAGAAATAGGAAGAAACCCAGTGTGAAGTGAGCAAAAGGATAAGTGACAGGAAATGAGGTTGGCAAGTGAGTCAAGAACCATATTATGCCCTAGTATGCCAAGCAAAAATCTTCTTTAGATTTTAAGTTTGATAGGCTTCCATTTGGGAAATGAATAAATGAATGAATGAATGAATGAATGATTTCCCCTCATTTCCCTGAATTGACTGGTAATAAAAAGGCTATAGGATGGGGAGTGGTTGAGAAATCTTCATCCTAAACCATGGCTAGTCCTGGAGGGATCAGAGCCTCAAGAAGAAAGACAGAGAGTGGCAGCAGCAAAGATGAGAGATGATAGACCATATGTGTGGGGTCTGAAGAGGGAAGGCATGCATGGAAAGCTGGCTCAAGATCTTGAACTGGGCTTAAGTGTCTAAGCAACGGGAGGCCTCATGTTCCCCAAGAGGAACACACAACCTAGATACAATGAAGTCACTGATTCTCTACTCCTCTCTCTCCACTCACAGCATTTTCTCTAGTTCTAGCTCTGTCACTCCCTCTCTCTTCTCCAGGTTCCATATGTATATTTGTCTCTTCCCATCGTCTTCTATTTTATTTCCTTTACACATTTCTTGTCTTGATCTCTTCTTCTTCCAATTCCCATTTCTCAAATCTCTTGTTTTACTGTACCTCTGCCCCATCTTCAGCACATGAGAGCCTCTTTTCTCTTTCTCCCTACCTTACAGGCTCCCCCTGATCCTGGAAGCCCTATTTTATTTTATTCTCTGAAACTCCATGAAACCTCTCATCAGTCAGAGAGACAGTGGAAAGGGGGAAGAGCCCTCCCTCCTCCACCTGGTCAGGTCAGGGTAAAAAGCCCTTCCCTTCTCAGGCTGGGGTCAGAGCGTGGTGCCCCAAGGGATGGTGGTAGAAGGCAGCAACACCAGAGTGGAAAATACCCATTGTCCCCAGGCCCCATGGCAAGAGCCGTGCCAGCATTTACTATCATTATATTGAATACACTGTTATAATTATCGTACTTATCCTGGAGTACTGGGCATGAACCTTACATCTAAATCAGGCAGCATCTCAAAGCTGGCGTTTCTTCTACGGGCTCAAGGAGAAAAGTTGCTTTATTTTGTTTTTTACAAGCAGTGATTGCCATGGTAGCATAGAAACTAGTTTCTGTGTTCTTACCACCAAACCCTAGAATTTGTGATAGACAAGATATAAACAGCATAATCTCAGATAACATCTCTATACAAAAACAACAAAGTAAAGCACTGGGAGATCCAAAATAAGTGGCAAGTCAGTTTACATTTCCTAAAGTTGGCTGCAATGAATTCTCATTTTCCTCTGACTTCTATCATAATTTTAAACATACATTCCTACATGCTCCTTTCTTTCCACTGGTGTCATCACATGTCATTAGCCTGTCACTGGGACTGGAAAGTTGTAGTCAGATGTATGCCTTCATTCATCAAACACCTCTTGAGGACCTTCCAGGTGCCAGGGACTGGGAACACCCTCAGGCAACCTAAGTCTAGTGGAGAGACAACTGTGTCCAGATTGGCACAGTCCAGAGCCAGGCCTGTGATAGGCACATTCATGGGTGAAAGGGTCATCCAGAAGAATGGGGATCAGTTGTCCATAAAGGTGGGGGTTGGGGTTGAGAAGGGAGTCAAAAGGGCTTCGTGTAGTATGTGATGCCTTTGTGACCGGCATCTTGAATGAGCTGTTTTCTAAGCGGACATGTGCAAAGGCACAGAGATGGGCAAGACAGCCTCATCAGGGAGTGTCAGATAATTCAGTATGGTGGGAGTGGAGGATGTAGAGACAATGATGGGGAGATGGGTCCAGCAAGAGACGAGACTGCAGAATTAATCAGCTTGGGGATTACTTCTGCAAATGTCCATAGAGGAATTACGTAATGCTATTGTTCTGGAAGACAGCATGGATATTCCCTGTCTTTCTTATTTGGTTACAGTGAACTTTTGAAGAATGAGTATATAAAAATACATACATACATATGTACACATACACACGTGTACACATATGTGCACGTGTGTATATAAACCCACTCACAGCTCCAACTTTCCCAAACATTGTAGGAATTGAGTAGATAGCTGTCATTGCTTCAGAAAACAGATGGATTCCAACAAAAGAATTTTACATTTTAAAGTTTGCTAAAGGTTTTTTTTTATTATTAAAGCCAACATCCTTCTTCATATAGAAAGTCAGAAAAAACAGAAAGTTAAACAAAAGAACAGAGAGAAATAAACTTATTCATACTTCCCCTATTTTGATTATTTCCTTTTCTAGCCTTTTTTCCTATGCACGAGTTTTATTTATTTGTTGACCTAAGTGTAAGTCTGAACGATTTTTAGAACGTAGAGAAGGAAATGGTTTAATGGGATTTCACCTCAAATAGATCATCACGTAGGTCACTCAACAATATTTACTGATTTTGTCTTTTGTGTCAGGCACTGGGTGACGTGCTGTAATAGAGTAGTAAGCACAACAGACACAGGGCCTGCCCATGCAGGCTCCTGTGAACACGAAAGGCCTGGAAATAAAAGGGGTGTCATGGGGACAGACACAGGCTAACCAAACTTTTGGCTCTCTCAGCAAAAACTCCCCACTCCCACTCATTTGGCCCCCTTCTGGTCATGGTCATGGTCATGAAGTCACTGAGCGCTCTCATTGGAAGGGCCTTTGAGTTCTTGTAGTCCAAATAGTAACTCAAATAATAATAGTGTTTGTTGGTTGAAACAAACAGGACATGTTTAGGGATAGCTTTTTCTCCCCTAATTGCTGGAGTTATTGACTTCTTTAAGCTATCCTTCCTCTGGCATCCGGTGCTCCCCACTGCTACCTGCCCCCTGGCACCATGGCAGCCCAAAGAACAGGAAACCGGACGTGGTCCTGCCAAAGCCCTCAACCCCAGTAGGCTTCTTCCTTCCTGCCACAGGGGTGATGAGACACAAGGCCAAGGCGAGCAAGTTTCTCCGGGCTCCACATGCCATGTGTCGTCCTTGTCTTAGATAAACAAAGCCGTCACTCCTCCTTCCCCACCAACACAGTCAGTCACCCCAGCACAGAAAACAAACAAGCAAGCGGGGCACAGTCGGGGTTCCTTCTGCTCTTGGGAGATCCGCCATCATGTAGACACGGAGGTCGTGGTTTCTAACTCCCCGCTGCCAACCACAAATAGTATTTCCTCCCTCAGGCAGCACAACATCTCAAACTGCACCTGTAGAAAGCCATCTCTTCAAGTTAAGGAATTGTAGTTTCTATAAATCCCATGCCAAAATGGATTAAACATTACCTACATTAAATCACCTCAGATAATTATTAGTTATTGATCATGTCATGGTAACATGCGCCCGATTCCATTGCAACCTGATAAGTATCATTACCAGCCACTGCTGGTCAGTGTTAATGGATAATTTGGGGCTCAGGTTAAGGAACAGCCAGCCCTGCTTGTATTACCACAGCGGGGCCTCGGATAAGCCAGAGCCAGCAAGAGGACGCGGGAACCCTGAAGGCTTTGGGGGAAAATGTCACAAAAGCAAACTTTACTTACTTCCCTGTTTTGCACCATCCACACCCTGATAAATGCAGGTTAATCTCACAGTGACTGGTGATCCCATGAACTTTAGAATCCATTCAGGCAATCACATTTCTCCACCAGCTGTGCTAACTATCTTTGAAGCCGAGCGATTCCTTTAACTCTGGTTAAACATTACACGACACATGCCTGCTTTGAATGGGCAAACCACAAACTGCACGGCAGAGTACAGAGAGAGAACCTTGGGCTTGGAGGCACCATATATGAGTTTGAGTCATTTCTAGTGGTTTGACCTTGAGTAAACACTGCTTCTCTGGGTTTTCATATCACTCAAAATTGTACTTCATTGTAACCGCCTGTATGAAATATTCCGTCGCCCTTTTTTCAACCTGGCCCAGACAGAATTAGTTTACTCCTTCTATGGTCTTCCTGTCCTTTGGACAGATCTGTGTCGTGGAGATGTAGATACATATCATTTTTATCTCCCTCACTACACTATGACTCCTCTGGGACTCGTGGCTTTGATTTCCCGTGGCCTGCCCATTATCCGGCTCCTAGTGCACACTCAGTAAATGATCTTCATACTTGCCTACCTGAACTACAAAATGGAGGCCATAATGAGCACGTCTCAAGGACTCCTAGGAGGCTCAAAGAAGACAGTATGCCAGCAAGTATTTCATTAACTATAAAGCCCTGTGTAATTCTAAGGTGTGGTCACTATTTGCATACCAATGTTATTTCTCAGGGTAGCACAATTCACGAAAATCAAGGAACCAAAGGAAAGAAACAAGAAGCTGCCAACAGTGATTAACTCTGGGGGCTGACTAAGAGGCAACGGGGAAGGTGGAGTGGACAGTAGGGAAGGAGACTTTGAATTCTTACTTTACATCAATTTTCAATATCAGAAATATGGATGATTTTTATACTGATACGTCTTAGTGTCTTTTCAAATTAGAAAAATAAGTGTGTACCATACCAGTCAACTCCTTCAGTATTTACCTGGGGGCCCATGGACATACATCAAATGTTAACTGAAACCAAAGCTTGCTGTGTTGTTTATTACATGATTATTGACAAGGATAATACTTTTCTCACTTTCATACTGCAATTTAGGTTTCCTGAGATATTGTTTATTATTTACTTTATTCTCACAGAAATCTTGATGTCACTAGGATAATTATTATTAGCTGAATTTAATGCATAGAAAAACTGAGGCCAGAGAGGTTTGATAAATTTTCCAAGATTCCAAACATGGTGGAGAAGACTGTAATTCAAGAGACCCAACTAGAGCCCTTTGCCGCAGGTGACGTCCATGAAATGGCCCCCAAAGACAGTTTTCTGTACTTCTGTCCTTGGCAGGGACTTGGGCTCCCAGAAAAGCTGTTACCTACAGACAGATGGCTTCTAATATCTTATTTACTGCTACTCAGTATATCATTCTCTAAGTTCCAATACGTGGCTAAGAGAACACTGAATTTGGAATCAGACAGCCTACTGGCTTGAATCTAGGCCCTGCCACTAAAAGAACTACATGACTTTGAGGAAAGTCATTTAACTTTTCTGAAAGTCATTATCGTTACCAAGTGGGAATGACACCACGCCTCCCTCTCAGGGAGCCTGGGAGTGTCTCATGAGATGATATATGTGAAGCTGCTTTGGAAACTGTAAGACACTTTGTAAATGTTGGGTATGTTATTTGCTTACAAGCTTCTGAAGGCTACTTGGCAGAGGCACATATTCCCAAGGCCACCAAGAAGATAAGAAAATCTAAGAGGAAAAGGATAAAATCACTCTCAAGAGGTGGAAAGAAATCTTGCCACTCTGTGAGTCACCTCAGTCTGTGGTAATTGGAATCCAGTGTTCTTTAATACCTACTTACTTCTTCTTCCTCCTGGGACAGTGTTGTTTTACCCCCTGCGGATTACCCCAGCTGTGACAGCCATTCGATCAGTGCAGCTATCAGAGCGAACAGCTTTCTCCCTCTGGGTCTTTGCCTGAAGCTTCACAGTAGGATAATAACGTGCTGTGACCGTTTCCCCCACTATCCACAGTTCGCTTTACGCCACTTTGTTTCACGGAAGACCTACATTCGTACCTGTTTTCGCTAACCGAAAAGAATCCGAAGAGTATTTTCGCTTTTACAATAAAAGGTGAAAAGCCAAAACAGCGTTCAGCGTTTGTTTGCAGCGACCCTTTATAAGGCAACGCGCAGTCCGACACCAAGCGCAGCGCCGCCAGGCTCCTTCCCCGGGGCTACACTGAGCATCTCAGCGTCAAGCCGCCATGGCTTTGAACCGTGTCTGTGAGCATCTTGCTTTATCTTGATTGATTTTGGTAGGTTATTTTTCGGATCTGGGAACGCTCAAAAATTTTTCCAATGTAAATTAGTGGTAATTGCTTCTTCGCTTTACGCCATTTCGGCTTACGAAAGGTTTCATAGGAACGTTGTACTTTCAGATCATGGGGGAAGGCTTTAAATGCCTTTGTTCTTTTCACTGCAAGGGAATCATAAAAATATTGTTTCCTATTAAGTTCGGTAAAATTCTATTCACTGAAGAATATAGAGAACTAAAATCCTTCCGTGTGTTGACTGAAAGTATGGATTAGCTGGAACGCGAAATTCTGCTATTTGATGGTGCCTCAAAACCCCTCCGGTAGCCCCGCCGCTATTACACTACACTTCTGTAAGGAGAAGAACAGAGAGAAGTGTTAAGGAAAGCTACAGTTCAGTGGGCAATGTAGGGAATCAGACCAAATAAAGAACCTATCACAGAAAATGACACATTGCATAGAGTAAGCACACTAAACCCAGATCTGGAGCAGGAACAGCAGGAAGGGGGAGTGTTCAGGCCGTTAGGCGCCTGCACAAGGAAACCCACCTCCTGAAAACTGCTCTCTTCTCCTCACCCTCAAATAGATGTCCTGATATTATCTCATAATTTGCGAGGTATCTCACATAATTGTTCTAATAGCTTGTCTGCAGAGAGAACATTTTGTTTCTCCCAATCTGATCCTAACTCTTCCTATTTCCTTTTCTTGCCTCTGTGTATTGCCTAAGACCTCCAGTACAATGATGAATAGAAACAACAATAGTGGGTATCTCTGCCATATTTCTGACTTTAAAGAAAAAAATTCTAAGGCTGTAAGTGTGGTGTGCACTGTATACATATGTTGGAGTGTCCTAATCAAGTTAAGGAACTTCTCTTTCTTTTATAGTTTGCTAAGTACAAAGAGTAGTTGAATTTTTGTCAAATGCCTTCTCAGCATCTATTGAGATACTTATTTAATTTTTCTCCTTGAATCTATTAATGTGGTAAATTACATTACATATGTCTTAATGTTACGCTATCCCTGAATTTCTGGAGTAAACTCTCCTTGATCATGATAGATTTAAAAAATAAATAAATGGCTAGGTTCAGTTTCCTCATATTTTATGAAACTTGCATTTATGATAATAAAGGAGACTTTGCCTTCTATTATCCTTTCAGGGACTGTTTTTGTCTTGTTTTGCTATCAAAGTGAGGATAACTTCATGAATTGACTTGGGGAATTTTCCTTTGCTTCCTTTTCTCTGGAAAAGTGTTTATAAGATGAAGAGTATAGTTAAATTCTCTATTTGATGGGTAAAGTGTTGTATACATGTTTATTAATCCAGCTTATTAATACTAATATTAAAATATTTTTATTTTCAACAATTATTTGCTTGATCTTGTATTTGTCCTTTTTTCTTTGTAATATTTAATGATTATTATGTTTTCCTGATTAATTATTCTTTTAATCTTTGAGAAATAACTCTTTTTATGACTAGTAATGGTTGTGTCTCAAAATCTAAATTTTCCCAATATTAATATTGGAACATTAGCTTTCTTTCTTCCTGATAGAGCTTTTATTTTAAAATTTTCTCTATTCTTACTTTTTGGTTATATGAATAATGGATCCTTATAATTTAATTTGAAATTCCTTGCCTTTTATCAGTGAGTTTAATCCCTTTATATTTATTGTGAATACTGACACATCTGGACTTATTCTTTTTTGTGTGTGTTTTCTATTTTCCATGCTGTTTATCAGCTTATTTATCTTCTCTTTTACTATATACTATCAAGTTTTCTTTCCCCCCTGTATTAGTCTACTCTTCTGAATATATATGTATTTTATTTCTATCCTTTAACATGGATACCCAGTAAAGTCCAATTTTAATCAATATCACTTATTGACCAATAGAAGAAATTTAGAATGCTTTAACTCCAATCCTCTGCCATTTTCATGTTATTCTACATTAGTTCCACCTTGTTTTTAAACTTCCCAAAATAATCTCTTTTTTGTTTGTTTGTTGATATAATCAATGATTACTTTGATTTAACAGCATGCTTACCAGCTTCTTTACTTTCTATTGCTTTTTGTATCTCTAATCTTCCTTTTGCAATAATTTTCCTCTTTCTGAAGTCCACCTGTTAGTAGTTTTTTCAGTTAATGTGATTAATAAATTCAGTCTTTTTTTGGTATGAGAATAATTTTATTTTACCATACCTTTCAGTGATAATTTAGTTTAATATTTTGAGGATATTTTTCCATCTTACTCTGGCTTCTCTTGTTGCTGAAGTAGACTATGAGTCATTAGTTTTCCTTGTGGGTAATCTGTATTTTCTCTCTGGTACTATAAAAAAATTATTTTCCCTTGTCTTTGTTATTCTGCAGTTTCACTATGGAATTCGTCATCCTTGGGATTGCTTGAGCAATTCTAATATGAGGACTCATATCTTTCTTGAATTCAGAAAAATTCCAAGCCAGTAGCTTTTTGAGTGTTATCTCATCTCCATTTTTTTCTAACAGATGTGTATTAAATCTTCTCATTTTAACCTCCATATCTTTTCATCTCTTTATAGTATTCTCCATCTCAATCATTCTTTCCTGCATTCTAGATGGTTTACTTAGATCTATCTTCCATTAATTAATTAGGTCTTCAGTTGCATGTACTTTACTGTTTAACCCATATTTTGAGATTTTAATCTAATGACTAAAGCTTTTAATTCTAGAAATTCTATTTTTCTTCTTTTTCTTTTTTCTGCTATTTTCTTATTATCTCTTGACTTCTCTCTTTTTTTAATGTTCTAAAATGAACATTTTAAATACATTTATTTTCTCATTCTCTTTTTCCCAAGTGATTGTTTTTCCATTCATGCTGCTGCTAAGTCTTTCTCAGGTTTTGTTTGTGTTATTGGTACTTTTGTTCCTAAATTCATCTTTACTGGAGGTGGTTTTCAGTAGGGTTTCTGTTGTGCTTATTTGCAGAAGTGTACCTACAAAGTGCTTTCCCGTTTTCTTCTGCAGGGCTTCAGGGTTTTAACCAGAGCTCGACCAGTTTTGTGCTAATTTCTAAATCCAGGGCTCCTGCACCACATAAGTTTGGTAAATTTAGAATCTACACCCACTCTATATAATTTTGAGATTGTGAATTCTTATGGTTGATGCTTTTCCATCCAGTGCCCTGGTGGGTAGCTGGTTTCCTGTCAGTTCCTCAGGTTAGTATCTGTAGTTCTTCTACTCAATCCTTTTTTCATCGACAGCACATGCTTTCAAAAATCTTAGCAATAAATAGGAGACTCCATTACAGCTGCTTATCTCACATGATTATAGATCACTTAGCCTATCCTCTGTGGGCATGAAAAACCCAATGTTCATCTCCCAAAACTTATATTCAGGACCAGTTGTCCCATGAGCCATGATAGCTTCAGGCTATCACTCCTCCTCTTGAGTTGGAGGTCCTTTTTATTTCGGCTACCTGTAGGTTTCCCCTTCTTTTGAGCTTAGCAATATATTTAACTTTTGTTGGCATATTGTATCCAAATTTTTGATGTTTGGAGAATAAAGACGTTCCCTCAATTGAATTTCCATTGCCTTCAACCTAGAGTTTGGGCCACACTCTACCTTAGCACATTGCCTATAGGTTTTAAGTACGTGCAAAGAAATATCTGCAGGACTCTTGAAGCTGTGCCCAGCTACTCAAATTGAAGCTTTAGCGTGAGTTTCCAGTGTGAACTTCCAGTTGGCTCAGTGAGCTTTATTTCCAGTCCTTATTGCAAAACTGATTTGGTATCGTAAACCTTTTTTCCTTAAGATTATATCTCAAAGTTTCTGGATTTTTGAATCGAAAGACCAGGGGTTTTTATGAAAGAAAGACCTTTGGTAATTATGTTGTCAATGCCACCTAGTAACTGTGTGACCCTGAAAAATTCGCATATGTCCTCTGAGCCTCCGTTTCCTCGTATGGGGTAAATAAGGATAAAAATATCTACATTGTAGAATTGTTGTGACATTAGTGTAGTTACTAGATAGGAAGATGTTCTACTTGATTCAGTTTGTATAATTATTTATTGAGCATATACTTTGAGAAGGCATTGTATTTATGATACTATTTACACTTCTATTCACACTATTTTCACTACTACTTTTATTTTGTACTATTTACATCATCCAGGACCAGCTGTTGATTTTAACTCACTTGATTATGGTTATTAGATTTAGCAAATAAAAATACAGGACACTAAATTAAATTTAAATGAAATTTGAATTTCAGATAAATAATAAATAATTTCCTAGTGTAAATATGGTCCATACAATATCTTATTTGGCACATCCTAAAAAGTCATTTGTTGTTTATCTGAAATTCAAATTTAATTGAGCATCTTGCATTTTATCTGGCAGTGCTGGGCTGGATCCACCTCTTCAAATTTGAACAATAATGGTCATTTGTGAACGATCTCCCACACATGTGTTCCAACTTTGCCAGTTTCCTATCTTAAGGTAGAAAGTTAAGCTCAGCTAAATTTTCATAGAGAATCTCTGTTCAAGGCAGAAAGGATTTTTTAATCAAATGGTTCGCTCCTGCAATTGAATCCAGATATTATTTTTGTTTGATCTGTCTTTCTTTTTGATTTAATTATCCATGTTTGCAATGACATCAGTACAGTATAGGATTTTCAGACATCTTGTAAGTTAGCTGATTTTGCAAGAAGGGTGACGGAGCCTCAGCACGTGGTAGGTCAGGGAGTTAGTATTCAGAGAAGGACATTTTCTTGTCTGTGTTTTCTGAGTGCTTGGTGGCCTGCGATGGTTACATACTTTAAGTCACGGTTATGTTACTCACCGGTTGGAGAGCCCTGGAAAAATAATTTTCTCTTCCAAGGGACTGTTTCCCGTCAGAACATCTCTGGGTAATCATTCCCACCCACTTCAGGGATTGCTGTGCTGTGAAGTAGGACAGCACTGTACGTACAATGGATGGTTCTCCAGGACCACAATGAAACAACAAAGATTTCCAAAACACAGAAGCTGAACTGGGACATGTGCCACTAGAAGAGGTGAATTGAGTCTGTGCCCTCATGAAGGACTCTGAAGTGGGTCCTTTTTGGTCTGGAACTATGGCGACTTTGTCAGGCTGTTCATTAAGGTCTCCACCCAGCAGATGCCCCTCTCCTTATGCCCCCATCCCGGGCCTTCTTCCCTAAGGGGAACTCTTCGTTTCCTCCTTCTTTGGTGCCTGTACTTTGTCAGTGGGAAGCACCACTTCCTTTCAGCCCAAGGCCATAGGGGGGCTGTTGTGTTCACATAAACAAGGAAAACGCATACTTCCCTATCGATTTTTCCATTTCTCGTGTACACATCACCAAGACCCCTGCGGAGTTCTTACCCATTACCAGAAACAAATTAAATCTCTAGAAAGTGAGAGGAAAATGAGAGAGAACAATTTGCTGCTTGCTTTCCTTCCCTCTATTTTCTTACTCTCAGTAACTAGAGATTATCAATACTGACCTTGATCATAAAATTCAACACAGCTCAGTTAAGAAGCTATGGTCCCAGAGAAAAGCAATGCAACTATATAAAGGGGAAAAAGGAAGAAGGAAGGAAAGTGTTTCTCTATGAAATTCCCCATTTTAGAGACTAGAATGGATTTGCACAGCACTAGCTTGCTGTATGTAGCAGAGTTATCCTTGAAAATTGTAAACGACGAACTGCGTGGAAAACCGATTTGCATCCCCCTGACTGCTGTTACAATTGAAGCCCTGCAGGTTCCACATTTCTGTCTTCGTTCACAGTGACTCCTGACACCTTTGCGTTTCTCTACCATGGTATTTAAAGTGAATCTCAATAAAATTCCTTTAATAGTGAGACTACTTGTCATTTCTGCCTTCCCAACATTTTCAACCTCCAGAGACAGTTGTGCAAAGTGGGAAAAGGGAGCTTGGAAGAGATTACTTCACCATTCCCTGTGCCTCCAAGTCGCCTCTGCATGGGAGAATAACAGCACTTACCTGTAGATCAGGTTCTTCTCTTGCATGCTCCCATGGCATGCCGTGTTTCCCCTTTCATCACACTCATCCCTCTTATAATGAGCAGAATACCTACATTCCCTGTCAACTATAGACTACTTGAGAGAAGGGACTGTGTCTCTTTCATTCTGTGTCCCTCACATCTAGCACAATGCCTGATACATAGTACATAGTAATTAAAGCTATTATCAGTACTATTGTCTAGGTCAGGGAGAACAAACACAGCTGATTCTCATTATTCATCATAGTTGTGTTCTACAAAGTCTCTGTAAACAATGAGTTACTGAATACTGACCCATTGCTCATAGGGGAAATACAAGGTGA